CAGGAGTGCCAGCAATTTCATATTCATGTGGAAATTTAAGGAATATCTGTTTAAAACATAACACACAAGCATATTAATTTACAAAATCCTCATATTTAAATTTTACCAACCTACATTCAATGAACAACAGGGGACGTTGATGAATTTTGGTGCTCTAACTCTGCCAATTCCTTCTGCTCACTTTGTTTTTGCACTGAGCCAGTAGAGGGGAAAGAACTGGCAGAAAAAAACTTACAACCAAGTCCAAAAACAAAGATATGAGAGACATAACTTAATGTGGATGATCTTCATCTTTTAATTGGAAGTGGGTGATTTTGGCACAGATGACATACAGATTGGTTGTAATCAAAGCACCAAGCTGTGGGTGTGGCAAATGGATGTGGGCAACCCTACAGCTCCAGGACTTGGGAGTACAAAATCGCAGAAATAAAAGAAGCAGACAGAATTTCCCCCCTGATATACATACATTGACACACAGTATGTTGACTCAGGATAGCATTTCCTGGCTCGAAGACACCCATCGTATTTGCTCATAGTAAAAGTAGAATAACAGATAAAGGTCCCGCAAAGCTCCGTCTGCATGTTTTACTTTGTTTGGTCAGCTGCTGCCAAGATGTTATCTATTTTGGAGTATCTCATAAAAGATATGAAAGAGCCCTTCCTTGCTTGGTCACAACGCCTTGCTCGAGGTTTTACTGTAAAAGTCTGCCTGGTAGATGGGCTGATACAGTGGATGGGTGGGTTTACCAACATGTATGAGGCATGCACGAAAAATCTGTGCTTTGCTCGGCTATGTGTGTGGCACACAGCGTGTCTGCTTATGTGTCACTATGTGCTTCAAAGAGAAATAAAACCAATGCATTGGAACTCTGAGCGAGTCTATTCTCAGAGGTCTGACTATGTAAACATTTATTGGGACGCCTTAAAAAGCCCATACTTCCTTAACATCTGCTGCTGTAGTGAATTACAAGCACAGAGTAAAATGTCTAAATGTTCTAATTAGCAAAAAGTTTGGCTATTTAAATGTATTGATATGACTAGGCCTGTAGAAAAAAAATCTCGTAATTAATAAAGACTAAACTTTAAAAACTTGAAAAACAGATACTGTGAATAAGCTGTAATCTGTTTTGAACATGTCACCTCTTCGAATGTCACTGAGAAGCAACCTGCTTTCAAGTTCAAAGAAATGACTCAGGCTGCCATCTGATTTCTCTCATCAAAAGAGTGTTTGTCTAACAACAATGGCGGTAATACAGACTATTTAGTATCTTGTTTCTCACAGTCTCTTTTCCTTCTCTCGCTCTTTGCAGGTTCATGTACACAAAGATTGGCAATTAGCTGCGATGATGACTTTCAATGAAGGTTATTTTCATTTTGCAGTGGTAAAATTAAATGTTAATTAAAGGAGGGCTATTCTGATGTTTAATGGAAGTGAACAAACGTAAAACTGCACATTAAACCAAGGGCAAGAAGAACAAGTGCCTAACTGCCGATACTTTGTCTATAAGGAGCAGCGGTGGCATGAAGCAATATATAGAAATCAGCAAAATTCAGGTTTGCCGAGTATTTTGAGTGCTACGATTGGCTGAAAACTGACTTCATTCTTCAGTATCTTGTTCGTGATAAGGATGATGAGTGGCTGTCTAAAAGAAGTATTTCACTGCTGGAAAGATGGTCTTGAAAGAGTACTGTTTGGGTCTTGAACTTTTGGTTCCAAAGGTACCATACTCAAAGTGTTTGGTGGAAACGGGGCTTGTATCTAATATACTGTACTTGATAACTTCAGTAAACAAAACCCATTAAATTTGTTACAACTGAGATATCAGTTAGACAATTACTCCTCCAGATGTTCATTTCTAGAAGGAAAAATGAAAAGCACTAAACAAGAGCAACTTCAAACAAAGTAAAATATGCCATGACAAAGTCTGTCCACAGAGAGACTTGTCCTGGCAGCTGTGCAGACTCCTTCGCCAAAATCATGGAGTGCTCTTATAATTTTAATCAGTGAATGCCAAAACTCATCCGAGCAGAGAAATTCTGTGCTGATATTAAAATGAGGTACGCCATGGCACGCACCACTGGATGCACTCTAATTCGGTGGCCAAGTTGGGCACTACTAAAAACACCACATGGCAATTTAACAATGACAGGTCAGGGCCACTGAGAAACATACACCACTATGTTTAGCAGTTACACCACAATACAGAAAACAGAATATCAAACCACAGCAACTAGGCAAAACAGTGAAAAACAACTGAGTAGGTGTGGGATGGGGGCAGCTTAGAGAAACTCATCCATAATCATCATCTTAAATGATGATTATGGATGAGTTAAAATAGCCAGGCAATCAAAATGTCTCCCAACACTTCCACATCAATACATTTATTCCTCACACTCACAATAATCTAATTGTGACAGGAAGCAGATTTCAGTGGCTTAACGAGACAGCAAAGCCAAATCAGTGTCCTGAAGCTCTGTTCTGGGTCCTGTTCAATAATTCATCTGGAGTGTAGAGCTCAGGATGTCACCTCCACTGCTACAGGCTTCTTGGCCTGGCTGGCAGTCTGGTTAGGAGGGCTGCCTTCTGCCATTAGCATGGCTCTGATCAGATTAACAGCTGGGCCTTTTGCCAGCACAGAGGCACGAAGAGGGAGAGTCCTGCCTGGCATGGCTTGGGTATATTGTGGCACATTTAGCAGGTTGGAGTGTCCACTGATGCACCACACTTAGCACACTGCCATCATTATGACACAAGTGGTGTGAAGCCCCTGCCAGGAAGGGGAAGCAGCGCAGGTGGCTCAGGACATCAATACTGCTTCTTCTGCTTTCACCTCTAACTTCTGAGTCATTCCAAGATATAAATAGGATTTTTTTGGACTGCGGTCTGACTTTTTCCAAAAGAGCAGAATATAAAAATATCTATCTATATTTATATATAAATTGTGTCTATTTTTTATTTTGAGGACTTTGAATTAGATGACCATATATGTCATATGCAAAAGTAAAATTTCATTAATGAAAATAATTTCAATGACACTGGCAGGTGAAAATAGATATGTACAAACTGTAAAGTGTATTCAAATGTGTGTGTCTGAACAACCTAAATGTTATGGTGTGTTCACACAGGGGCTGTCCCGAATATCAGGTTTTGAAGATCAAAGCTTCAGTTAGACAGCTTCAAGAGTAGGTGTAAGGGTAATAAGAAACAAGGACATAGGTTGGACTTTGTTTTCGCCACAGTTTCCAGTCGATGCACTTGAAATAACATATCATAGTAACATTTGCCATAATAGCTAACGTAAGACAAAAAGAATACTTTGCAGGATGGCTAGGCTGTTACTTACAGTTTTCAGGTGATTTGCCAAGCTTGTTGTAAATCTGTGATATGCTACTGTCCTTTGGCATATCTGGCACTTGACTTTTTGGGGCTTATCTTTGCACATTTTTAAACAATTCCAAATTTGACTTTTTTGACATCTCGCTAGCAAATCTGCAAGCCTGTTCTGTGTGGTCAAACTATCCCAATTACAGCAGTGCTTAAATTCAGAACTGCTCTTGACTGATGTTAGTAGAGAGAGAGTCAGAGTCATAAAACTACCACTAAGTTTAAATGTTATTGTCTGAGCTTCAGAGCATTTAGGTGGTCAGCCTTAATTCACACTTGCCATTTTTAAACCCTATAGGATGACATTTTGAGCAAGCAGTATTACAAGAATCAGCCCAAGCAGCCCCTTTTTTTTATAAACAAAAAGGTTGATTACACAACAATGACTGTAATATCGGTTACTGCACTGATTCAGTGTTGTCTGTTGAAAAAAAATCATGTGATCCTCTTGTCAGCACAAAGGGCCCTTGAGAGTTTACAGAAGTCTTGACTGAAACAGTCGATGGTGAGGAGGAGATGGAGGAGATGACAGGAAGGCTTCAAAGTTACGTTAACTAAAGGCCCCTGGCAGTGATACCAGTTCGTCCTTTACCACTCAGGAAATACAATTTTAACCTGCAGTGGCAGAGAACATCCCAAAACCTGCTGGACCAGTGATATCCTTTAAACAAACTGAGTAGAGCTGTGTACTGGCAAGAATCTGCGATTTGACTGCATCATGATACAAAGGTTACAACGTATTGCAATACTGTAAGCAGGGTGATATATGGTGATTATTTTTAAAATTCAGTTTTTAATTGGTAGTGTGCCATTCATGAATCTGCCTGTTTCATATGCCTGTGTTTTTTCTGCTTATGTTAGTGATATGTTGTTACGCTGGAAGAGTCAAGACAGATTAAAATACTGCTATCTAGCAGTTAGGAGGTTTAAACAAAACCACTGCCATAAATCTTTGCATGTAAATCATTGATTAAAAAGTGACTGTGTTGTTGAGAATTGATGCATTATCACAAAACATGATATTCTGATGCTAAAGTTTACTGATTTTCTTACATCCCTTGGACTAAGCGGCCTTTTTTGTCTTTTAAGAACTAAGAAGACCTATTTTAGTTCATACTATTCATAACATTTAGAACAGTAAATTAATAATAATTAAATCTGCATAAGTAATAATTATTAAATAAATGCAGTTGTAAGCCTTTGTATTAAAACAGATCAAGTTATTTTGCTTGTAAATGTCTCCCTGTATCCCTTTAATAAGCAAAAAACACATTTTCTGATTCATTTTCATTGTGCCCCCAAGACTCTTCAACATTGGAGCACATGTGCTCCTTGGAATCAAAAGTCAGCATCAAGCCCGGACTATCATCAAGGCTTCATGTAACTGTCTGTGCATATGAAAAACAATTACATATTATTAAAAGAATGTCATTGAGCTCAAAAAGTGGTTGTAAAGGGACAGAGGAGGGATAAAATAGGAGCCAGGGGGATAATGATACAGGGGTTAAGAAGAAAAGATGGCAAGGAGTGAGCGATGATGTTACAAAGGGATGGATTGGAGGGAAGGAATAAAAAGATAGTGTGGAGAGTGATGGCAACCCTCCCACAGCTCTACCTGTGGTGGAACAGATTGGACCCGCCGCAGAGCGTTCTGATTGCCGTGGCGACTGAGCATCAGCTGACAGATGGCTGCCTCCAAGCGCAGGGCAACGGGCCGTCCGCAGCTTCCACTGATTGGAAGTCCGTGCACACACAACACTGCTCACGCCCACATGCACAGACTGGTGGCCTATGAAAAGGGTGAGGGAGAATGGATGACATGGTTGTTTTGATCTTGGAGGTGTCAGGCATCTTGACTGGTGCGGCTTACCTAGATGACCACTGGCCAAACTAAACACATCCAATCTGGGTCACATCCCCTGCTCACAATCAGACAGAATATATGGAGGGGATGAGTGTGGATCTTTAGCATTTTAGCATTTGTTATGGTGTAAAAATTAAGCAATAAGAATCAGACAAGTCACATTCAGCGGCATCAATACACAACCACAGATCCAAACTAAGTTCTGCATAAAATTTGGAGAGAAAAAGATACGTCTGTCAAAAAGGATCTCTGGAAGTCTAACCATCTCTATACACTCCTGTACCTGTGTGTCTGTGTGTGCGGCCTGTCCCCGTCTTGCTAGCTCACAACATTTACTGATCACATACCTGCATCAAGACACCCACAACATTCTTAAAAAGTGACTAAAATGAAGGACACTGCCTGAAATATTCAGGTTGCTTTATCAGTCTGCAAAACATGTGACTGTACAGTAAGATGTGGCAAAGAAGGTAGCTACAAAGAATAATACAAAGACAAGCAGTCAATGCAAGGCATGTAATGCTAGCATTAGCAGCTAGCGTTACTTCTTACTGGCCCCATAATAACAACTCCCAGTTACTGAAGCTAAGTGTTGCTTTACTTAAAGGCACATACAGGGCCCTGTTTAAACAATATATATAGCTCAGGGTCTAAAGTGTATTTAGGGTGTGTCAACTTAAACTGGTCATAGGTGTGTTTTGTGTAGGTGTAGGTGTAACATGAATTCAACCATCAGCATCATTTTACAGTCCCTTTCAAAAGCCTGGTGCGACTGCAGCTGGTGCATTGCAATTTACATGGCTGATGTGACAAACGGGAGAAGCAGAAACTGGTTTACCTCTGAGAGTTATGCAGTTAGAGCAGTAATGTCAATGCAGCAAATATCGTGAGATGTTTAGGCAGCAAAACTGAACACTATAGTTAGAAACTTGACAGAGATAACAGAACTAAACTTTTAGTTTCTGAAATAATCAAAGTTACCCTGCTCCTTGGGCGTAAATATGCAAAGCGTCTCTTTTAATGGGGAGCTGGACAGCAGCTCTGCTCTGAGAATGTAATTAATATTTTCCTCATTAATGATGCATTGTTTCACCCACCTACAACCCATCAGCATGCCCCTGTGCCCCTTTCTGAACAATGTGCCCTATATATAGCAGGAAAATACTTTGCCATTCTGACTTTTGACTTGCTGGTTAATCGCACAATTGCTTTCTGCTGCCATAATATAGCAACATGTCAACAATGCACCTGACCACACCTCATTTTTAGACCTACATGCCAAAAGGAGCACAGACTGGTACAAGAACACTTGCTACTTACACAATATGGGTGCTGGCTGTGAAAATGACAACTATGTCAGTCTGAAACTAGCAATGACAGTCGTGCTATGCACTGCTTAGCATTAGATGTAAGATAAGAACCACAGTGTTATTGAAAATACTACATTTAGAGGGATGAAACTGACCCATTCAGCGGTTCATTCATTCATTCATTCATTCATTCATTCATTTTCTGTGACCACTTATCCTGTTGGAGGTTGTGGGGGAGCTGGAGCATATCCCAGCTGACACTGGGTGAAAGGCAGAATACACCCTGGACAGGTTGCTCAGGGCTAACACATAGAGACAGACAACTATTCACACTCAAATTTATACCTACAGCCAATTTAGAGTCACCATTCAGCAGTGTTTTATTAAAAAAATCATCTTTCTAAGGAGCTGGCCAAAGAATTATCCAGTGTACTAAAGCCTGTGTTTACTATTGTTGTGGCAGACATCATTTTCTGGAGCATTTCTAATGCAGCATTTAAAGTAAAAATGAGGGAAATTGATTTATTTCAGTTACACTTTCATTATTCAAAGGAAAAAAAAGATCAAATCCTAATCTCAGTTGAGTCGCACTGCATCAAATCGGCTTTAAGTCACAGTGTATCACTAATAATTTATCTGCATGGTTTTTGTTTTGGATCGTGGACTGTATACGTAGATCTTCAGATCGGATTGTCCGAGTGAGAGAGATACCATCGCTAGTGTTTGTGCATGGTGTGTTCTTTATAAACCTGTTTTTTATCTGTCATGGATTAAGACAGTAGTCATGTCAAGGTCAGATACGTGGACTGCTTGTATTGTATTACAAACTTGGCTGAAATCTCCAACATCAGAAAGCCAGTCCAGTTGCATTACAGACAGACTATGACCTGGATGACAGAGAATCATCACAGATATGACATGCATACATGTAGGTGTAGATGATCAAGATTACCTGCAGGTCACATGAGTGTTAAAACCTGTCACGAGCTACACCTTCAAATGATGTTGCCTGCATTCTTCAACATAGACATGGCCCTGTTAAAAACACCCTCAAACAATCCAGTCAGCAAACTCATACAACTGTGAAATAGACAATAATATAGCATATCACAGCAGCCATTTCCCTACACAATTCACTTTCTTTCTGCACCATTTACTCACACACACACACACACACACACACACACACACACACACACACACACGCAAGCACCAGTATTGGATCTGGGAGGCAAATGGGCTGCATGTGTCTCATGCCTCTCCAACACCTCCTGTTGCCATAAATATCTTGTTATGAAAGGCAGGTAATGAAAAGCACTGCCTTGGTAATCCGTGACGGAAGGCAGTTTCATGCTAGTTTAGCTTCCATCACCTCCGTTGCTCCCTCCACTGCCCCACTGAGACAAGCCTTCGTCTCGTGCACTTGTCCTCCCTCATCGTCTCCTTTTTGTCCCTTTGCAGAGAAACTGCACGGGTCATCTATCTGCAGGACCATTTGTTCATATTACATGTGTATTCTTTGTTTGCTTTTATTTTGTTTTTCTTTGATGGTGGCGGAGTGTAAGGACGGCATGAGTTTGTTGTTTTGTCCATCTGCCCAACATTTTGGTCCATTACCATGAAATTTAGGGTGCTTTAAGACCTCGAGTTGTCTTGCTTTGGTCCGAGTCAGGGACTAGTTTTGTTACAAAGTTGTATAATTGACTAGAGTTAGTTCGTGTTCTCACGGCAGCATTTACAAGTGCACCAGATCAAATGCCTTGCACGAGAAAGCTGCTCTTGATTTGTCAGAATTCCCATGAGGGAAAAATCCAGGAAGTAAACAAAATGTTGAAGAAGAGTACACTTGCAAGATAAATGTGACACTTTCTAATGTCACAATGGAGGGACAACTACGCATGTTGATTTTAGCGCTGCTCATCGTGGACTATATTGCTGTCATTGTTCATTTTAGTCAAACCATACAGTTTGAAAACGAGGCGCGGCTCCAACTAGAAAACAATGTTTTGATGCATTGGATGTGCTGAATGTGCATATTAAGGCAGTACAGGAGGAGGTGCACATTAATAATCCTCCAGGACTGTAACATGCTCATGTTTAACCCCAACAATGTGTCATGTGACTGCAGTTGGTTCAGATCCAGGTTGGAACACGTTCTCACCATGTTTTGCTGCACACCTGAGTGTGATTGCTATGTTCACACCTGCCGAAACAAACCGCACTTAGGGGGCAAACGAACTTGAGTTAGATTGAACGGAACCAAACAGGGCAGGTGTGAAAGCGCCCTTAGAATCAATATTCTTTGTCCCTACGGGATAATTTCTTATAATCTTTCAGAGTTTTGACATTATATACCCTATTAAATATAAAGGATAAATTCATTATTTTGGCAGCCATGTGCGCTTTGACTAAACTGTTGCTCATGCAGGAATAGTTTTAAAAACCCTTTGACGCAGGTGCTCATGTACAATGCCCATGACTATAAACTACATTTAAACACATAAAAAGAGGCTCCTCAAAAATGACAAAAGAGAAATGTAACTCACAATAAAGGAATACTTCACACATCTATTTCCAAACAGATGCGCAGGAAAGGGACAAGCAGAGCACAACTTGAAAGGGCTAGTTACCGAAACATTGCAGCATTAAAATCATTATTTTTGCAAGTTAGACAGTGTGAGAGAGTTCCTCTACAAATGAGAAATTGTGACATATAAAACTAGTTACTTTCATCTCATATTAATGTAGCTGAGGAAAAATAAATGCTATGCTTTTCAGCGAGCTTCCTCTGCCCCTCGGTCAGTGAGGGAGTTGGCGCATCACACAGCGAGCCATTGATCAGGGTGGATTGCAGGAGACAGCAGCTCAGAGCTGCGGCCCTCAGAGGAAGACCCTCTCACACATTCTGGCAGCCCTTCCAACAGAATAGGTAATTCTGGAACAGCAGCTCCCGCTTCACCTGGTGCCAACAAATTTACAATTCAAACATGAACCAAGGTGTTGAAGAGGAATGTTAGAAACACTTTGATTTGTTTTTATAAGAGATTTGACAGAGGTCGGATACATGGAAGCCCCTACAGTGTCGCTCTTCAAAGGAATATAAATTGCTTTTCTCCAGATTTTACTCTTTCCCTTTATGTTGATCCACGTTTGTGTCTATAGTCATTATGGAGTTCTGATATACTATATGTCAAGTCTGGATGTGAGTACACAATGTAAATGTGGTTTTGTTTCAGATATTATCTACTAACACAGGCAATGTACTGGCATTTTTTTAAACTAAAAAAATGAATCAAGAATATTTTTCTATCGGCATATAGATGCTTTACCTTGTCTGTAAGTTGTACAGTGCATCATCTCATTACCTCATTACCCTTGAAACCATTGTTAAAGTTGAATGATGTTAAAGCGTGTCATTTTTAAAAAAAACAAAAACACAGCTTGGGGATGAAAAATTTTGGAACAACAGAAAAACAGTTATATTATAAGTATAATTATACCTACTAGGGATGCACCAATTAATCGCACATCAATCTTGACAGATATTCATTGACTGCCATTGGCCTATCACCAAATAAGATGATATTTTTCTGTTGTATCACATCAATTTTGCGC